AAATACACAAATGCCTCCACCACCCACACCCCCAGTGACCCTGTTCCATGCCCAGAAGATGGCAAAAAAGCTCCAGGATCCCTAGCCAAACTGGCCTGGAGAAAAATTGCTTCCTGACCCCAAAGCAGAGATCAGCATTTCCCTTGGTGTGCAAGAAAGGGCCACAAAAACTAAGCACTGAGGCTACCCTTCCTGCCCTCCCTCTCATGATCTAAGTTCACACAATCAGTATTGCTGTCAGATGGCTATCTAACCTCTGTTTGAAAACTTCCAAAGGAGAGCCCACCACCTCACGAGGAAGTTCACAGAATCAGCATTGCTTTCAGATGGCAATCTAGCCTCCGCTTAAAAACCTCCAAAGGAGAGCCCACTACCTCCTGAGGAACTGCTCTGTCAAGACGTTCTTCCTAGTGTTTAGTCAAAAACTCTTCTGATTTAATTTCAGCCCATTGGTTCTGGTCCAACCTTCTGGGGCAACAGAAAACAACTTTGCACCATCCTCTGTATGACAGCCATTCAAGTACTTGAAGATGGTTATCATATCACCTCTCAGTTGTCTCCTCTCAAGGCTAAACATACCCAGCTCCTTCATCCTTTCCTCATAGGACTTGATCTCCAGACCCCTCACCATCTTTGTTGCCCTCCTGTGGATATGTTCCAGCTTGTCTATATCCTTCTTAAATTGTGGTGCCCCAAACTGAACACAATACTCCAGGTGAGATCTAACCAGAGCAGAGTGAAGCTGTACCATCACTTCACCTGATCTGGACACAATACTTCTGTTGATACAGCCCAAAATCGCATTTACCTTTTTAGCTATCGCATCACACTGCTAACTCATGTTCACTGTATGGTCCACTAAGACCCCCTAGATCCTTTTCGCACATACTGCTGCCAAGACAAGTCTCTTCCAACCTATAATTATGCATTTGATTTTTCCTACCTAAATGCAGAACTTTACATTTATTCCTGTTAAAATTCATTTTATTTGTTTCAGCCCAATGAACATTAGCTTTCCATCTTTTAGCAAAGGTATAATAAAAGCTAGATTTGCCGTTCCCCTAGGTAAAATAGCCAATTGCTTAAATAGGACAGGCTTGTACATCAAGATTTTCCTCAGAATAAAAGGGATTACAGACTTAGATCTAAATTTCGGCACAAGATTTCAAACATATACACAAAAGAAACCATGGTGTTCAGGTATTTTAAAAAGTCAACTTCATTTGAAGGCTGGCATGTGGTACTTTTCCTAAACAGAACTGCTACAAGATTTGCCAGAAGAAATAAATTTTTAGGAGTATGGAAATGCAATAGATCATACCTTAATATGGTGATGAATTTTGTGTCAGTGAAGTTGAGAACAATACCATAAGGGGCTTAGACTCTGTCAAGAGGCCAAGCTCCTAGTAGAGTCACTCAAGGCAGAATGGTCACAGCTGAGACACCAGATTATGATACATCCACCCCTTTCAGGGATCAATGGCCACGTCAGCAGAAGACAACAGACAGTTCCAGTGGTGATGGGGGCAGAGGAATCCTCGAAGGGTAGCTACTGGGCAGCAGCAAGTGGAAGGGGACACCGGTGGAGGATCTTTCAGCTAACCCTGGTTAGTACTGCACAGAAGGAGCAATCTGGCCATCTTTTACCTCAAAAATCCCATGATGAGACAATCCAAAATAAAGAATGATATAGAATGATGTAGTGCTAGAAGACAGGACCATTCCCCACCCCCATCCCCGGTCAGATGGCATTTAATCAGCTACTGGGGAAGAGCAGAGGACAAGTATAAATAGCACTATTCTCAATGACGCAACTGGGCTAAAATTGAAAGGACATTCAGTTGTTGATGTGAATGGATGTAAAGGAAAGTTCAAAGCTGTTCAACACATATAATAGGAACATGGAACATGAGAAGTATGAATCAAAATGAGCACAAAATCATAAAATGAGAAATTGGACATGTGTCTGGAATGCAAACGTGAGAAACAAAGTAGAATCAAATATTGACAGAAAATCTGGGCTAGGACCATGAAATGAAGCAGGAGAGTGACTCACAGAATTCTGTGAAGACAACTATTTGTTCATTGTGAACACATGTTTCAGGCAACTGTGGACATCTCCAGAAGACTAGTACAGAAATCAAATAGCTTACATAATCTGAAGCAGAAGATGGAAAAGCTGTATTCTCTCTACTAAAACAAGACCAGGGGCTGATTGTGGTACGGACCATGAATTGTTAATATTGAAAATTAAAATAAAGCTGAAGAAAAACACCAAAACATAAAAGATAATCTAACTACTGGAAACACTCAACCTACATTCTAATTCTGGGGAAAAAAGAGATGTCAAGGACTGCAGCATCTATCGGACCATCACATTAATTTCTCACGCAAGTAAAGTGATGCTCAAAATCTTACA